AAACCTTAGAACTTGTGAGTGATAGAAAACAGACCACAGTGTCCTAAATAAGATAAAGTATTTGCTTGACCTTTGTATGCTTTTATGACTGATTGGAGCTGTAAAGATACGTGTATTTGAAAATCATGAAAAGCTGCTCTGAGAACTTTTTTATTCAAAACTAAAAAACATTTAGGGTTGTTTTGTATGAATTACTTTATTTTCATCTCACTGATGTATATCTGCACTAGCTTTCTGTAGTCACCATGATACATTTAGGTTATCTGTAACGTAAAAAATATTCTTATGTTAATCAAAAAAACTCAACCTGAGCAAAGGCAGGAGGATGGTGCAAATTATTAAGGAACACCAGGTCATTTTCAAGCTTAAATATTATTATTGTTGTTTTAAGCAATAGATTAGAGTTATACTTCTGAGTTCGAGCTGTTTTCTTCCATATTGAGTCACCTACGGAACCGTGTGCAATAGCAGCTGTACTGTGACTCGTTCTGCAAAGCCAGCCAACTCGAGGCAAATTCCAAGAGCTAAGCATGGGGGAGAGAAGTGAGGGAGAGAGAGGCTTGTGTCACATTGTCACCTGAAAGGTGATCTTCCTTTTGAACAAAACATTTCCTTTTTTTCCTCTTTCAAATTTGTATTGACTCTTCACAGCCACCACACATGATAATAATTTTTCATTAATTAGTTTTTTTAAGAAGGGCATGAAATATCTATGATATTTCTCCTACCTTCTACTTTTTTTTTTAATATCCTGATGTAATTTGCTTTCTTTACTTTGTGTTTTGCTCTCTTCCTTGTTATTACTGATGTCTAATTCCTAGCCTGTATTGCTTACTTTTTTCTTCTTCCCTACCAGTAGATCAGTTTCTTCTTCCCATAGTGTGTGCCCTGCTGGGCATTCATCTCTGAACACTTAAACTTCTGTACTTCTCTATAATGCTAAGCCAACTTCAAGTAAAGCTTTCAGAATTCTTTGACAAGTTCCACTCTGTTGCAGGCCTAGCAACAATTTTTACAAAGGGTAATTTCTAACTGAAACTTACAAAATTTATATTAACTTTCATTTAAATTTCACTTTAGAAAAACCACAGAGAGGCTGAAAACCAGATGAACATCTGCATCTAGCCAAACAAAGAACATAACAGTGGAAGGGATCTCTGGGTCATCAAGTCCAGTGCTCTGCTAGCCTGGGAATTGCATCAGATAATTCTCTTTTCATAAACTTTGCCAATACTAAATTGGAGTAGTTATTTCTTTGCCCCCAGTGTTTCTGCCAAAGACTGTTCCAGAATTTGATTTATTTTAATGGCTAGAGACTCCGTAGTAATGTGCAATCTGTATTTTTTCAGCGACAGCTTATATCCATTTGGTTTTTTGCTTGTGCTGGCCTTTAACTTAAGGAGAGATTTTTTAAAAAATCTATGTTTGAGTTTTCTATTTATACAGAATTTAAAAAATGAAGGATTCAAAATTACTTTTTAAAGCAAGTCATGCTAACAGGAATTGAGATTTCCTTGGGTAAGCTGATGTTGGCTGAAGTTACAGTAGTAAGAAATACTATTTTTAAAAAGGAAATGCCAAAAGTTTTTGTCCAAGGCAATATTAGAGTTTTTACATTATTTTTTAGCTTTTTTTTTTTCTGAAGTAGATGGTGACATTCATACTAACTTGTAGGAATTATGTTGTTTTGGTTTTGGGCACTTGCTTCTCTACTTTATTCTCAGCTGAGACATAAATGTCTTTCATGTGGAAACTTCACACCATCCATATAGCATTAGGCATAGTATAGAAACTGAGGATGTAGAGATGTTTTGTAAGCCTCTTGTATAGCAAATCTGAGTGACAAAATAAAGTGTTATCTATCTAAGTTGTACCCATAATTTACAAGGGAACTATGTGTGATAGATATATTGTATTCAGATCTTTACATGGCTTTTAATTTTGTTAAAATCTCATTGTGCATAAAAAGCAATGCATTTTATTAAAGACAGATAATTTGAGACTCATGAATTGTTATACATATTCAGTACTATTTGCTGTATTAATATGTAGTGTTAACAATTTTAAGCAATTGTATACTCCCAGAATTAGGGCTAACTCTCACATAAATAACGTTTGACACCCTGACTCAGAGGTGCTATGAAATCAAAAGAATGTTTTAGGGCTTTGAACAGTACTTTTCTAAAGATACTCTCTTTGTGTGTCTCTTAATAAAGTTGAGTGAAGGAACACCACATGAACTCTCCGAAAACTATGTCACATTGAAATTGTTGTAAAATTAGCAATGGTAAAGAGAACGAAAAAAAAACCCACAGAGAATTCAGTGGAAATACAGCTTGTGTAGTCTTGATTCTTTGCTCAGAAGATGTCTATATCAGAGTTAAATGGCCTGTTGTAAACTGTGCATGTGTGTATTTTTCTGTTCCCTGTTCTAGATCATGTCTCATCTGTTCTGATGTGTCTTAATGAATCCCCAAAGGAAAAACTAAGCATGATTTTTTCCTTTTTTCAGCAAAACATTTGTGTGATTTAAGTCTCTGAGGCAGCATCTCACATGCACCTTTGTATTTGATGTGCAAGTGAATCATCACTGAGTTCCTCTCTCTATTTTAAGGCATATGACACAATTTTCTTAAGCAGTAAGACAGCAAACTGTAAACTCCCTTTTCTTCTGGAGGTCGTGTCTCAGTAATTCTTCTGTTTGTTTCTGAAATGTAGTGTTGCTGCAATTCATTGCATATTTTTTTCTTTAAATAAATTACATAGGAAATGGAAACACTATTTTTAGCAAACTGGGAAAAGTAAGACTTTACTTTGTAGTTAGAACTGTGATACCTGATTTTAGCTGAGAATTTGATTTATGATCTTTCAGTATATAGTCTTTTGCATGGAACTCACTTGTTTTGTTCATTACAAAATGTCATGTACATACAGGAATTTAAAATTTCTTCCTTTATGTACAGAAACTATGGAAAGAGACTATTAAGTTAACTGATAAGTTAATACACTGAAAGTTCATTAGTTTATCAGTGTCAGAACTGCAGTTACATCACATGCTTGAATTTAGTATCCAATATCAGAGGTCTCCCACACGCCAGGAAGAATAATTTTTCAGTAACATTCCATTTAATACAGACAGAGATTACAGTACTTTAACTGTTTTAAAAGGTGTTTCCAAACATGCAAGATTTATAAGGTGATCAGCTTTTTCCTGCAGACCTATTATGCGCTGCACAATTGTCAAAGCACAATTTCTTTGATGAGCTAGTTAATGGAGTCTTTAACACTTAAAACAACATTATCTTACTGTGAAAACGCCTAACTACTTTTCTATTTTTTTAATACTCAGCTTGATATATAAACACTCAACACAAAGTTCGAGGTTAAAGAGACATGTGGATAATGGAAATCACTTTCTCTTCCAATTATAACTTGTATGTAAGTATAAAAATGAGCTTTTATATTATTTCATAGCACCAGAGCAGGAAATTCCTGAAGAATATACTGAAAAATAAAATAATAAATCCATAAAAGACAAAAAGTAAGTTGTATTTTCCCCCTTTCTTTAATATCCTTTCAGTATCACATTATATTACACTATATGACATTACAGTTGTATTGGTTTGTCTTTATTTTGGATGTGTTCCTGGCGCTCGATCACTGTAAGAGAAATTACATAATGGTAGATACACATTAGTATGTGTTGTTGCAGATAGGAACCTAATCCATTGGTAGGTGTGGAGAGGTTCAACCAAAATTTTGGCCAACTCGAGATATTTCCTGTTTCTTCTATACTTTCTGTAATCATCTGCTAGTAGTGATTCTTGCCAACAGGATCTTGGGCTAAATTAAATTTGGATCTGAGCTGATATGGTTATGCTTGCAGTATGTATGGTTTGTTATACGGTTGTGACTGTTGCATTCAGCCAAGTCTCTGAACGTGATCTTTTTAGTTAGTTTGGGGTGTTTTTTTTAAAAAAAAAACCTCTTCATTTTTCTCTTCTCTTTTGTTTTGAAATTCTGCGTCATTGCAATGTCTTTAATAAGACTAGCCAGGAACAACATTTGGTGTACTGGAAAGTAACCCAATAATCTAATTTTTCTATAAATGCAGGGAGAGCTTTACTTCTGAGTAATTGATGGTATTAAAATCAAAACAGTAATATACCCTAAAGACTAGCTTTATAACGATGGTAACCTGAGTTAAGCAGAACTTACCAAAGCTAAAGAGTGTCTTTTCTAGAATACCATTTTTGACTGCCTTTAAGACATGAACTGAATTAAAATGTATTAGTTTCATTGCTCCTCCACTGTGAACCTAAGTGTAGCTGAGCTTCAGTGTTCATGCTAATTCTTGTTAGCTGATTCATTGGAATGAGGTAAATGTCTATAGCTGTAGAAAAATGGTAACAGAAGTAAACCTACTAAGTTGTGTTGTATTTGTAGGCCATTTTATACATAAGGGCAAAAATTCTGTGCACACTAAAATGAATAGTAGGATTTCAGCTAACTCAGTAGAGCCAGGATTTTATCCCTAAGGTAGCTCCT